ATAATAGCCAAGATATGGAAGCAACTTAAGTGTTCATCAGTGAATGAATAGATAAAAAAACCTATAGTATATATAAACAGTGAAATATTATTCAGCCACAAGAAAGAATGAAATTTTGCTCTTTGTGGCAGCAGAGATGGACCTCAAAGGTATTATGCTAAGTCAAATAAGTTAGTCCGAGAAAGACAAATACCATGTGATCTCTCTTATATGTGGAATCTAAAAATAAATAAAGTAAAAAGACCAAGCTCATCGATACAGAGACTAGATTGGTGGTTGCTAGAGGTGAAGGCTGGGGGTTTGGGAGAAATGAGTGAACTGTTTGGTTTTCTTTAGTTTAAATAAGTTAAATTAAAAAAAAAAACAAAACCAAACACACACAGACAAGTGAATACACAGGTCTCCCACTGTGCCGGCAAGGCAACCCCCACCACACACAGAATGTGTTTTGATCACTTCTAGAACTCTCGAAACTCATCCTCACTACCCATACAAATAATCAACTGTGAGACAAATGATCCAATGGAAAGTAAAATGAAGCTGAAGGGAAGGAAGTTGAAGAAAAAATCCACTGGGATCCTCGATCTCTTCTGCTCTTATCCTCACATTTTCATTGATCAATTCCTACTAAAAGAATTATAGCAATTTAACGGCAAGGTTGAAGTAACTTTTGGGGGATACCCTGATTCAGCATGGGTAAGTGGGATTGGGGTACAGATGATGGTTTCTTGTCTTTCTAAATGTTCTCTCTATTTTCTACAACCACTATAGTGGGTTGAATGATAACCCCCTCTCCCCCTCAAAAAAAGATACGTTCATGTCTCAGAACCGGTGAATGTGATCTCATTTGGGAAAAGGGTTTTGCAGATGTAATTAAGGATCATCTGATGAGATCATCCTGGATTATCCAGGTGGCACTAAATCCAGGGATGTGTGTCCTTCTAAAATACGGAAGGGAGAAAGGTAAGAGAGGAGGAGAAGGCCATGTGAAGACAAAGACGGAGATTGGAGTGATGTAGCCATAAGCCAAAGAATGCCTGGACCCACCAGAAGTTGGAAGAGGCAAGGAAATGATATTCCTCCAGGGCCTTTGGAGGGAGCATGGCCTGGTTAACACCTTGATTTCAGAATCCTGGCCTCCAGAACTGTGAGAGAATACATTTCTGTTGTTGTCAGTCACCTCGTTTGTGATAATTTGTTGCAGGAGCCACAGGAAACCAACATGCCCACCTTTACAAAAGTTCAAAACCCCGTTGTGCTATTTTTCTATGAATGTCCAAGTGCCTGCATGGATGAGGTTCACGATGAAGGGCAACAAGTCTTGTTGCATGATTACCTTTTCTCCCCCACCATTTATTATCACCCCAGAGCAGGCAATCCTGCTGGGATTGTCCCTGGCTTGGAAAGACAGAGCGGGGAATGAGTGACATGTAGCAGGTGAGCTGTAGTGGCTTTTAACCTGCTCCTGGAAGCAAGGTCAAGGCACTGTTCTGACCGACATCCTCGGCGCGGACTCAGCAATATTATTAATAAAGCATATATTGAATTTATATACACACTGGGTTTGCCTGTTTCTTGTGCAAGTAAGGAGGCCAGTTAGCAGAAGTAGAAAAACAGGACAAGCCCTGAACTCTCCAAATCTATGAGAGAAACCAGCCACCAGCCTCTGATGAGGTTAATTTCAGTTTCTAAGACTTCCCATTGGATTTTTATCTCTGCCCAAACATATACATATTTGGTTTATTCCCAGTGGCTGGATACAGAAATGATTCCAACCTCCACCTCTTGGCACTCAGCAAGGATAGACATAAAGGCCTGGGACATATTTGACCCGGAGCTTTGATAAAAATAAGATTAAAATGGGTTAAGCAATTGCTTGCACTTAGCCTTCAGACCACTAGGTGTCAGTGTGGCCGCTCCATGAGGTTGCCATAACTTTATGAAGAGTGAATTCCCCCTGGAAACCAGCTTTATTGAGCTCCCAGTCCAAAGAAGGGCCCTCTGGATTGGGGCAGGAACTGGGGAGCATATGAAGCCCCTGGTAGTTAAATGGATGGAAATGACAAGCAGGCAGCATGAATATGAGCCTTGAAAATAATTCCTCAAAAGAAATGGAATCCTTCCCAGGCTTTTCTTTTTAAAACAGAAGGCTGACTTCTCCCAGGGGGTCTCTTGAATTCACTGCGACTCCTTTGATATTTGTGATCACTTTTTTTTTTTTGATCACTTTTAATGGAGGATTTTTAAAGATGTGGTTTTATTGGAAAGAACAAAGTCTTCATCTTGCCCCTCACCTATCATTTATCAGTATTTTCTTGGGTATTACAATATTCCAAGTTTGTGCCTTGCCTTGTGTATGCACGTCTGTTTTGTCTACACATAAATCTTTTCTGACAGTCTTGCAACACAGACAGAGAGTCCACAGCCATGACTTTGCCTTGTGTTCATAAACCCATCTATTTTTCTACATGGAATGGTCTCTACCTAATGCCAAAATATTTCAAGTGGCAAATATTAACGATCTATGATTCTGTATTAGTACACAATAAGTTCATATAACTGTAGACTCATACCAGCTCTCTGAGGTAAGTACTACTATTACCCTTACTTTTTAGAGAAGGAAACTGAGGCACAGAACGGCTCGTGGCTCGCCCAAAGTCCCACAGCTGCTAGGAGGCTGAGTAAGAGGCCCATGCTCTTCTCTGAATTACCTCATTATAACTTTAATTAAAAGGTGGGGGGAGGAGGGGAGGCCTAATGAATTCTTCAGAAGAGGCAGAAATTCATACGCGAGGGCCAAAGGCTCCGACCGAATTTTGTTTCTAGTTACTGTGATTGTGAAACATTTCCTCAGATCATTTGTAGCCCTTTGTCATCATTTGCCCCCTTTCGCCAGGATTCCTTCTGAGAGGTCAGGGTTGATGGCAGCATGGCTTCCCGTCCCTGACCTGTGTGGAAATTTCACACTGATCCCCACCCCCTGCCAGACCTTCAGGTTTTGAGGGGGAATTGAAATTTGCTTCTCCTCCTCAAAAGGATGAGCACACACTCGTCAGGAGCCAGGATGAAGGAAATTATCTGTGCCCAATAGGACCACGTTTCTGGTTCTGTTGCAGGACCTCACTTAATACCCGCGACACCAGAGGTTGGAACAGGAACATGTGACAGACCCTATTATGAAACAGCGAGTGACAGAAACACTGTTATCTGCTTATCACCCTTCTGGCTGCAGTGAGGCTGCATTGGAGTGTCCGATGTCCACCTCTTCTGCCATTTTCCAGCAGAACTTTCTTGTAGTTATTTCCGCTAGCATAATCTATGCTGCCAGCATTTGGAGGTGGCACCTTTCCCTGCTGTAAAAAGTTACACATTTATTTGATAGAAGCTGTTACCTGACTCCTGCAGAATGAGGTGGGAGGGTGGCCTCATTTAGTGAGTCTTCCCGGAGCCAGGAGGCTGGGCGCCCCCCCCCCCTCACTTTTGGCTGTTGTGTCTGCTCAGCCTGTAGAGCCCAAGAGCTGTGGCACTTTCAGACACCTGGCAGGGGGACGTCCAGGGGAATGGTTGAGTGAGCCACCCCTCCCTCCCCCCACTGGGCTGACTGAAACAAGTTAAGTTCTGTTAAGTCCTCAGGATATTGAGTAAGAAGGGGGAGAATAAGGGGAACTAAAAAGTGTCTGTTCAGCGTGGACACTTCTGCTGACATTCCCACCAAGCATATGACATTTATAAGGGCAAAACGCAAATGAGGTTCTCCTGCCTGCCACTCTGCCCCTGGCATACAAGGGGAGGACCTAGAAGGCTTTGGTTCTATAATCTGCCTGCACACCTGGGGCGGCCCACCTGCTGTCGATTTGGGAGCTCCACTCCAAGACGTGGGCTATTTGGGACTTAATTGCATCTGCCGCTGGGAGATGAAATGGGTGGTGGACTATATGAGCCGATGGGGGCGCAGGTGGCAGAAAGCCCAGTGGTTTCATGCTTTTTTGCCATTGGTGAAACTTTTCTTCAAACTCTGGAAAAACGGGAGTATTCAAATTATAATCTATGGTGAGAGACTACCATTGGGATTAAGTGGGATTTTAACAAATTGTCGTTCAATTAAACTTCCTTACCTTCCTTTAATCAATCAATCAGTCAATCAATCAATCAATTCATCCATCAGTCATAAACAGTAAGCACTACTGTATGGGCCAAGCACTGTGCTGAAACTAGAATAGTGAACAAGACAAGGTTCTCCTTAGTGTTTATAATCTTGTAGCGGTCGTGGTTAGACACGGCCACTTTCCTCCCCAGATAGTGTTTCTTCCCTTCCTCCACAGTAAGAATGTGTAAACCATGGCCCATGTGCCACATCTGGCCTATGGCTTGTCTGGAACAGCCTTTAAGCTAAGAATGGTTTTTATGTTTTTAAAGAGTTGCTAAAAAACCCCCGCAAACAAACAGAAACAAGAAACAAGAACAACAACACATGACAAAGACTGCATGTAGCCTAAAATATTTACTGTCTGGTCCTTTGCAGAAAAAGTTTGCCAGTGCCTGTTTTATAGTAAGAGAATTCTTGTGTTTTAGCCAGGCATGCGACTACACAGAAGAGAACATTTTCCAGCCCCTCTGGCCACTAGATGTGGTCATATGGCAAAGATTTGGCCAATGGGATCAAAGTAGAAGAGATTTATGTAGCTCCTGGGAAGTGCCCTGGACCTGGGTCCTAGCCTGCTTTCCCCTCCGTGCTGGCTGGGCCTGAGCCACTGGGGTTCACTGATGACTAGGGCAATGCTTAGGGATGGCAGAGCCAGAAGACAGAAAGAGCCTGGGTCCTGGCACCAGGGAGCAATTCTACTGTCCTTGGATTTTGCTGGATAGGTATGAGGGAGGAAAAGGAGGAAAGAGAAGAAATGTTAACTTTTTAAAGCCAGTCTTCTGTTTGTTTCTTCTCTTTCCCACAAACCTCCCTCTGATGCCAAAGGAAACGAAATCTCCCCAAACCCAGAACATACCTTCATGAAATGCATCTCCTCTCTTCTTATTTACCTGGTTAACTCCTGCTCCAGCCCCAAAGCACAATGTAGATGTCATCTCCTTCTGAACTCAGTCTTCGAGATGGGGCAAGATGTCTTTGCTCTGGCTTCCAAGGTATCTTTTAGTTGCTGGAGACAAGTCTGTTTCTCCCACTGGGCCCTGAGCTCTTTAAGGGTGGGGACTATGGGTTATCTATCTTGGATCTGTAGTTCCTAATACAGTGCCTGTCACACAGATGGCACTTTATAAACATTGTTGAGTGAATTAATTTATTACAGGCCAAGGGCAGCTTCCTGGTTTGTGAGATAGTTACTTTTTTTACACATTTTTTTCCCCCCCGGAAAAGGTAAATCCAGCAATTTACACCTCTGGGGGATAGAAATAAATTTTGCTATCCAAAATGGGGGACAAGAAATGTACACATTTACAAAGATTATATTTAAAAATTTGAGTGTTTAAATTGAGTGGTAGCTATGCTTCTTGATAGTACCTGAAAAGTTTGCAAATTTAACAAAAATAAGTAAAAAGCTATGAGATGAGTTTGGTAATATAAGGAAATATTTCTGAAATAGATGAAAATGTAGATACCGAAATCTATCTTATATTGAGCTGATCTTATTATTATATAATAACAAACACTCAATTTTTCTATTTTTATGATTCTTCACAAAGGAAGAGATATACAATAATTTATTATGTGATAACAACATGATAATGATGATAAAAATCCCATTTGGTTCTCCCCGCCCCCCTCTATGTTATGTGGCTTATAATCAATAAATGCAAAAGTAAAAGCACTGTTTCTGGCATAAGCCTATTTTACTGTATGCTCTGGAAATCATGTAACCATTCTTGTGAAGCAACAGATTAATGTATGACTTGAGAGTCACTGTATAGCAGTAGTATTTTTTCCCCCCTTCATTTAAAGGAAAGAATACCAAATATGAGAGGCATATTTTTCTTCACATATAATCCCTCTTGAGGTGGTGTTAACAAAGGTGGGGTTGGAAAGAATGACTTGCATTGTATTTTTTAAGGAAATCAATAATGTAATATTGGATTATTATTCAGGCATCTACTTTTCATTATTTTTGTAGCTCCTCACTAAATCTTTTCATAAATTACGAGCAAACCTGAGCAATTACATAAAATAAAGTCATTCAAAGGTTTCTTAGCTCAAATACTAGCTCTTACATTACATCTGCTGCAGAATTACAGCTAACCTCAATGCTTCTGGATATTTTATGAAATGTTGAGGACTCTCCCTTCCCCCAGCAAGAGCAATTCTAAGAAAATGATGAAGGTCTCGATGAATAGCTCATTCTTTGTGGCCTTGAATACCGGGCTTTTTCTTCCCCATTATGTGCAGCTCTATTGTGCAACGCAAGGGAATAAAATACCATAGGGTGAAAAGTAGTGAGCTGGGGGGTTATGCAGTGAGGATGGAGGAAGTCAGCTTACTCAGCTCATTGCTACCTGCATCCATATCTATTTAGGATATCAGAATTTCTGTCTTTACAGTCCAGGCAAATTCTTCTATTATCCCTATCTCACCCCATCCTCATCTCTATCCCAGGTTGAGAAACCTTACCCTATTTCTATCTGGCTGGTATCATTACTACCTGCACTGTGGGCCTGTTTATACTTACGGCTGTCCATATGCTCGCTTTTCTGTTCTCTAAATAAAATGTTGCACTATTGTTCTTGTACTTTAGCAATTATAACATTTATCTCCTCTTAATTAAAAAAAAAATGACCGTTAATATTCTAGTCCCGCAGGTAGAGACATGAAGCCAAAGGCCGGTCGAGCCAACCTTCGAGGACAGGTGATCTGGTTCTGGTGGCTACGACAGGAGCACTGTGCCATTCAAAGTCCCCTGGGACTTGTTCAGAAAACAAATCATGAATGTGTTTGCGAGGGAGAATGATTTGGCCTCAAGTTCGGTTTTAGCACCATCCCTCTGGCTTCCCTTTCCTTGAGATCTGGAGGTAGTGTGAAGACGGATTAGGCGGCCTTCCCCCCTCTGCTTGCTCAGCAAGCGAGCGCATTTGGCAGGAGAACCCAAGCTTTGCCCCTGCTCCCGACTCCTGAGCAGCAGATAAAGCCCAAATGAATCCACACCCTCCCGAAACTCGCCATTGCCCTGCTGACAAATGTCCAGTTGTCGGGAGCTTCGTCGTTAAGCCCATCACAGCCTGGTCACAGGTTATGCGAAGTGTGTGTTCCTAGCGTGAGTTCACTCTCCGCTGTCAAAACTCGTCAATGCCCAGGCACGCTGGTAACTCGCATGAGAATGGACCACGTAGAGAGAAGCCAAGAAACAGGTTCTGCCTATTTTCTTTCACTTTAAACAGCTACTTCCCCTTTCCTCCCCTCATAATTCCTACCCACAAATCAGAGAAACATTACAACCTCCAAGGGGCAGGGCAGGCTCCAGGTTCATGTGTTAAAAAAAAAAGGTGGTTTTTCTCTACTTTCCTCCACCCTATCTCCTCCTGACCCCACCCTGCTTCCTCCAACCTGCTCTTGCTTTTTGCTTCTTGGGAAAGCAGAAAACTAGCGGAGGGACATGAAAGATTTCTCCAACTCTCAGCTTCTTACATTCTACAAACACACTCAAAGTAAGAAAAGGTACAAGGACTTGAACAACTTCCAGTGGTTCGGCTATGGGGGGTTTTGTTAACCAGCACGCCCTGGTTAGCCAGGCCAGCAAGTTTTGAGAAGTGGGCAGGCAAGACCCACGCTCGTTTCTCCCCTTCTCCTTCTGGGTGCTCTCGTTTCTTGAGCTGTGGTCATGCAGAAGAGCGGTCACTCAAGATTCTTGACTGTGTATAGCTAGCAGTAAAATATATTTGGACATGCACCCTTAATATGGGGATGTCTTTTAGTGAACCTTATCTATCTATCTACCTATCCATCCTCACACACGTATATTACTTTGCAAATATTCTTTATCCATTATAAAATGTAAACAAAAATAGAAAAGGTGAGATTTTAAAAATATAATCTTTCTAACAATTTCCCTTCATGTCCAACAAGCTGTCTTGAGCCTCCTTCTGTTGTATTCACTCCACTTTGGAGACTGCTATTGAAAAGAATGGGAGGGAAAACCAACGCACTGGAAGGTAGGCAAAGGGCATTAGGGATGTCAACAAAACCATGGTGTTCCCTACTGACTGGTCCCACCCATTCAAGTGGGTTTAAAGTTCCTACTTTCGCATCAAGCGCCCCCAGGCCTTCTGTCTGGTCTAAAGCCTGTCTCCCCACACCAATCTGCCCCAGCTACATTATCTCTACTGGATCCGCCCGTGTGTTCAGTTCCGAGGTATTCACTGTTGCTCTCCTGCCCAGGTAACCACCTACGGGACATCTTCATCTGAATGTCCAACAGGCATTGCAGACACTCATTCACACGAGACTGAATGGTGAGCTGAGAATCAGCTTTAGACTCGCTTCTCTGACTCCTGCGTTCACATCTGCTAAGACGTGTCCCGTTCCTTCTGTGACTCACGAGGCTTTTGAACCCCACTTACCCATCCTCCCCAGAGTGCTGTCTTTATTATTTCCTGCCTCTTTAACTGCAATGGCTTCTTATTAAATTGTTCTGCCTCTAATCCTTTCTTCCCAGGGCTGTCAAGCATGATCTTCCTATGATCAACTGGATCATGTCTCCCGAAAGTCCTCCAAGTGGCTCTCCAACCCTTCGGGAAACAAAAATCAAAACGCCTTCACATGGCACCTGAGGCTTTCCTCCATCAGTCCTGGCCACATCACATCCCCAGCTGCACGAGGCATAGTTTCTGCTACTCTCATTCCATACCTTCTTCCCCTCCTTCTTCTTCACCTGGGGTAACCCAGTCTTCTTTAAACTCCACTCAGAGATTACCTCCCCACCAAAGCCTTCTCTGACCCTCCCTTTGAGATGTTCAGAGTACCCACTGCATCAGGTGATAATGTATAATATCTGGGTTCACTTGAACTTGCCTGGGGTAGGGCCCAATTCATAATTTATCTGAGTCTTTAGAATAGGAGTCCTCAAAGTTTTGTGTTCAGAAGAATAAGTGGAGGTGTTTTTAAAAGCATGATTCCAGACTGAGGAGATTTAGGGTAGAACCCAGCAATCGTGCTTTGTAGCCGCTCCCTCTCTCAAGTGATTCTCATCTAATTCATCCTTGGAGTTTAGCAATGTCAGTGCTAAGGCCTATCAATAAATAGCAACAAAAGAAGGAATTCTCTTTCTCTCTCATCTTTCCATGCCTACTAAGCAAATGCATGAATGCGAGCTGAGGCAAAGGTTATATTGATTATTGATAATGCTTTTGGAAGTGGGACTTTGGATGGACCACATCTGGGTGCAGAGATACACCTCACACCACGAATCTGGCCTGTGGACCTGCTTTTGTTGCCTATGTGTATGAGGATGTGTACACACATATACACAAATTCATATAAATCATATTTATTAGCAACAATTAAAAATAGTTTTGAAAAACGTAAAAAGGTAGGGGAACTCTTCCGGATTAAAAGATGCCAAAGGGACATAATAAAATGCAAGAGGTACAGCTTGATTGGATCTTGGTTTGAACCAAAAACAAATTATAGAATAATTTTGGGACAATTGGAGAAATTTTAATATAGTCAATTAAATGATAAAGAAATTTTTACTCTTCTTAGGTGTGATAATGGTATTATGGTTAAAATGGAGACTGCCCTTGTTCTTAGGAGAGATATGCTTACATTTTTAGGGATGATTGTCATAATTTGCACAACTTACTTTCAAATGGTTCAGAAAATCATTTATACATAGACATATAATGTGGTCAGGTGTTAACAATTCGGTGAATTTAACTGGAAGTGAATATAGTTGTTTGCTGTACTATCAAGCTAAGCTTTTCTGTAGATTTAAAACTTTAAATATTAAAAAATGGGGAACTGTAAAAACTAGAGCGATTTCACGTAAACATTCAGATTTGTGGCTTTCTTGGAAAAGTCTGATTTCTCAGTACAACAATTAGCTGGAACTTCACCTGGCCTCC